AGCAGTTGGACTGAGCGGGTGGTGACATCGCCAAGGTGTGAGTCCAGCAGATGCTCACTGCCTGGGCTCCTCCTCCACCTCCAGTTCTCCCTCTGCTTCCCGTTCCCTTCCTTCCCTCTCAGGGACACGGCTCCCCTGGCAGGCAGACCTCCACCATATCAAACGAAGCACACGTCCAACACACAGCCCAGTGGTCTCCGGGTGTGGTTTCTCAGCCCTGGCATCCCATTTTATTTTGAGAAACGTCAGGAAGAAAGAGACCGAAGAGGAAAGGTATGAGGAGGAAGGGGAGACACAAACACTGAGGTCCTTTTGCTCCTGTGAAGAGATGCAGATGTTTCTCATGTTCATTTTCCACTTCTGGAGCGGCTGAGACACGGGGTGTCATCCCTGGATGCCCCCAGGGCTCGAGGTGGGGGGTCTGACCAGCAGCCCGAGGTGAGCCAGCCAGCGGTCCTCCCCTCCTGGCTCCAGTCATGCACGGTGCCCTGGGGACACCACGGGCTGTTTACATTCCCTTGCAGGGATCCACGGGGAAGCAGCTCTCCGACTGCCAGGCAGCCTCACGCTGGCTGCAGAAGCCTTGGCTTGGCCGGTCATCCCACCGACCCCAGCCCGTGCCATGGCTGGTGCAGCCAGGGCAGCCTTTCCAACCCTTCCGCCCTCACTCCCTCCGGACCAGCCTCTCTCCTGAGCCTCCGCTTCCCTGGGCTCAGCTGCCGCCTGAGTGTGCTTGGTTCCCACGCAGATCCCGGGAGCCGTGTCCGGAGCCTGGCTAGACCCTCCCGCGTCGTCGCGTGCACATGCGATGCCACAGACTAAACACTGAGTCACTGCTCACGGCTTGCTCTCCCCAAGCTCTGGTTTCAGAGGGAGGACCTGAGGGCTTTACTGAGAGACATAGTTTCCCCCTTTTCTTGCTGGGTGGTTTTAAGGTGCGGCAGCGGCGAGATTGCTGGGAAAGTTGTGGGTGGGCCAGGGGCCAAGTACAACGAAGGTATCACGGGGTCAGCACTTGGTGTGAGCGTCTACCCCGGCCCCTCCCTCACCCCCGCCCCCACCTCCGTCCCCAGATTCCCACCACAGTCCGGCCAGGAAGAGTAGCTGATAATATTACCCTCGCCTTCTGCTTACAGAAGGAGAAGAGGCAATCTTCCCTGTAGGGGAGGCGGGGAGGGGGTCTCCCATTCTGCAGATGAAGCCGCGGAGAGCCGAGGGGGCAGAAGGCTTGCAACTGCGCTTGGGCTGGAGAGCCGGATCTCCCAGCCCAGTGCTCTCATCCCAGCAGGCAGCTGTAGAAAACAGCTGTATTATACAATCAGAAAAGAGGGACTGGGAGATTCAGTGTTGGATTCTTAGGCAACTGACCTCCCACAGTGAAATGATTAAGGTGTGGCTCTCTGGCCAACTGGGCATTTGCTCAGTAGCTGCACTGACCCAAACGCTGCAATTTTCCATGGGTGGGGAAGGCTGCAGCGAGATCCATTGCCTTTTAGGATCTTGACCAAGTAGCCAGAAGCCTGAATATTTGCTTAGCTTGCTAAGCAGAAACTGGCTTACCCTGAGCAACCCGTGAACCTGAATGCTTGGCATGGCTCTCTGAAGACTTGAGTTCATCCGCTCATGGATGGGAAGGCAGTCTGGTCATTTTGTGTCTTATCTTAGAGAAACAGCCCAAGAGTCGAGGTCTGCCACTGTTAAGGCATTTCTAGGAACAGTCTGTCAGAGGAACCCACATCAGGGTTGACGAGCAGCAAATCCTTATCTACCCCATAAGTCAGCATGGGGGGTCCGCTGGTCTTGTTCCAGCTTTTGGCTGCTCCTCGTGGATACACCTATTCGTGGCTAGTCGGAAGGTAGAAGTGGAAAAGGACAGGAAGATGAGAGAAGCACTTTATATTTTAGCGTGGCATACATTTCTGGCACTTCTTTAAAACCTAAAATCCAAAAGCTGGAGGGTTCTCTTCCACCCGCGTTTCAAATCTTAGGAAAACATCCAGTTAACTCTACTGACCCTCCAACTTAGTCTTTCTCATAAAACCATTTCCCAGGGAGTAGAAGTTAATAAAAGGAGAGTCTGGCTCAGGCTTTTCCCAGTGCAGTATCTGCAAATATTTTTGACCATGATCTGCACATCCATATAAATGTGACAGAAACAGAAGTTTCACAAAGCTATGTGTACCCTATTGCCTGCAATGAATTCTGATATGTTCTATTCCACTGTATTTTATGTCACTTAAAAAAAGCACTTGTCTCACTAACGGCATGATTTGAAAAAATCTGTTAGAGAAATCTTTGTCAATGTCTTAACAGCTTCTCATAAAATGGCTGTACTTTGAGTCCCATGGCCTGAACCCTGTAGGTGATGCCATTAAGAGCCAGGTGCTCACTGTGCCCCCACTCCCATGCCATGGAGCAAGACGATGACAGGAAACAAGATTTTAAACCCTCAAACAGATTATTACCAAAAAACCCCCACAACACTGCATGATAAGGAGCCATAGGTGATGGGGGGAATATTAAAAGAGAAATGAGAATGATCAGGTAACTTCATTCATCCTGCCTCCTGGCTTTCATTCATGCCATCCCTTTCTCCAGAAAGATCCATCTGGCAGATCCATTGGCAGAGAAATCTGCCAATCTCTCAAAGTTCACCGCTTCCAGGAAGTCTTCCCTGACTGTCTTTCTCTGCTTGGGCCTTTTAAAAAACACTCGACGCTTCCATTTATTTGACGTGTCAGCATGCCAGACCAGCTGAGTCTGAATCCCTTAATGCTATTTATAGTGTGTAGTTGATGTTCCTTAGAGAGTTTGCCTGGCTTCATTTACAATCTGGAAGCCATGTTTGTGAAGTGGTCTTCTGCCCTCTGTTCTTGGCTGAGCAAACTAGGAGTTGGCACCTGATCAAAGCTAGGCCAATCAGAGTCTTTCCCTGGAAATTTGGAACTAGGAAAGGACAGAGAAAGAGAGAGAGAGGAACAGACAGAGAGAGAGAAAGAGAGAGAGAGAGAGAGAGAGAGAGAGAGAGAGAGCGCGAGCATAGACCATTGCCTGTTTTCCTAAGGGCTTTCTTATTCTTAGTTCCAGAAGGATCTGAAGCCCTCCTTGCACACTCGCTCTTGGTCCCTGTGACACAGTGCTGTGTCTTTATAATCTATTCCCAGGTATGTCTGGTTGCCTGGTCAGTCCTGGTTCATACCTATTATCCAGGCATAACTCTTACTTCCCATTCACGTAGCGAGCCCTGGTCTTGACGGTATGGTCACCTCAGCTTACGCTAGCTAGAGTTGGTTTCTGTTACTTACTATTGCACATTTATACGATGTCTGTAGCTTACAGAGAAATTCCGTGTGCCTCATTCTTTTTCCAAATGAATTATTTTCCTCTTAGACCTGCTCCTCCTCCTGTGGCCACCACTGGCTCCCTGTCATCTAAGCCAGAGACCTGTGAGTTAGCCACCTATGCTCTTCCTTCTCCTTTACCTCATAAATCCAATTATTCATTCCTTCAAATGTGAGTGTCTACCAAGGCCCAAGCACTGTGCTAGTGGCTGGGTGTAGTGTAGTGAATGAAGCAGAGTGTTGTCTTCTTTGCATTTGTACTCCAGCTCCATGAACACCCGCAAGTGCAGTTGCGGGTTTGACGAGTAGGGCAAAGGAAAGAAACAGGCTCTCGGGGAGGGAAAGTCAGGGTGGGTGTGGGCCAGGCCGACCCTGTACTGGGTGCTCCAGGTGGGCCTCTCTGAGGACACAACGTGTGAGCCGAGATCTGAAGGGTCTGAAGCAGCCAGTTAATGAAGGGGTTTCGATAGCAAGCACTGAAGGGAGTCAGTTTACATTTTAGGATGATCGCTCTGAAAAGTATGTGGAAAATGAATGGTAAGGGCAAAAATGGAAGTAGGAAGAACAATTAAGAGGCTCTTGCAGATGTCTAGACAAGAGTTGATGGTGGCTTTCATGAGAAGGAGTGGAGATAAATAAAAATGCACAGATTGGGGAAGTATTTTAGAGCTATACATTAGTAGGAATTGGCAATGGATTGGCTGTGGTGGAGGAATCCTATCATATCCTTCTTTATTTATAGTGTATAGTATGCTGAAAATGTATAGGTCTAAAATTTATAGTATACTGAAAATGACGTCTAAAAGGAAAGGAAAACATACGGTAATCCATAAGTATTTATTTTTTTCATCCCTTCCTTACTCATCACTAAGCTAAAGGTAGAGAATGTTAGTAGAATGTGTGTGTATTAAGAAATGAAATAAAAATAATTGAGTTAGTTTTGTGCACCATTTCTACCATTCTAGTATGAGAACTAAATACCTAGGGACATGAGAGCTAGGAAATAAGAATTGTGTAATGGTGGTAATGCTGTGTGAGTCCATGGTGTTAATATTTGCATTTAAATCTGGCATCGTACAATATACAAATGAAGATAAAGTCCATGCTAATAATCATGTTAAATAACAAATAAAAAGTATTATAAAAAGTTATAAGAGAGACTGTGGGAGAAAGGAAAAGCTTTACATTTTAATACCTTTAGTGGCACTTCTCCTTTGCTTTTTGAACAAGGAGTTCCACATTTTTATTTTATGCTGGGTCCTTCAAATTATGGAGCTGGCCCTGCGTAGTTGGCCAAGGAAATGGCTCAGGAGGCCCATATCACCGAGTTCTGTTGTTGGTTCCACCAATTAAGTATCTCCTGTCTGCCCAGAGTCTCATTAGCTTGAGTTATTATGTGATCTCTTGATGGGCTTGCTTTCCTTCATATCCTTTGAATCTACCATGCTGTGAAACCCGCTCCCTTCCTTTTTAAGGCATGTCCAGAAGAAAGCAAAGCAGAGATACATCCAGGGAAGGTCTTAAGGGAGAGGACTATAGGACCCAGGAGAGATGAGAAATGTAGGGGACATGGCAAGGGAGAGCCCCCAAGGGACACTTCCTGGAGACTCATGGGTCCTGCTCAAGGCCCAAGAAATAAGGCCTTATCCTTTTTTGTAGTGAGAGGAGACAAGTCCTAGTTGACTCTGGTGTTGAGGAAGAACAACCTACAAAATGCTGCCTTTCTGGAAAAGCAGTAAGGTCAATTTTCTCCCCAGATTGTCTTCTCAGAAGGTAAGTAGGGACATACTCTACAGGGTGGTACCTCCCACTGTCCATTTTAGGGGCTCACGGCAGGACCTTGGCACCTTGGTGCAATGTCTGGCTGAACCCATCCTACGCCAGACCTGGTCAGTAGTCCAGCCCCCACGAACCCCACCATCTCCCCCCAGTCCCTATACTGTCAGCCTAGGAACGTCAAAGAGCAAAGGACAATCCGGCTATCAGCTTCCCAGGGTGTGAGGGAAAAAGTAACATCAACGTAGGGGTCTCTGTGAGGGCTGAGGCAGCCCCCAGTACTGGGACTTGCAGGAAGATTACGTTTCCCAGCCTCCCTTGCAGTGGCAGTATGGCCGTGTGGCTGGACTCTGGCCAGTGGAATGTGGGCAGGCGTGATCTAATGATGTAAGATGGACCTAATGATGTCTGATGCTCTGAGTGGGGAGTCAGACTGATGCAATGTTGTGTTTAGTTCCCCAGGCTGTTCTATGAATCCTTCCTCAGTAGGTATCAGGGAAGATATGGTGGAGAGGGATGGGCATTCCACAGCAGCGTTCTTAAGGTCCAGTAAGATACTTGTGGTAAATTGTTATGGGAATGGCCCAACATGAATCCCTCCTTCTGGTATTTGTGCCATTTTGTGGCTCCCTCCCATGGCGACTCTGGACTTGGTCATGTGACTTGTTTTACCAATTGGGACACCAGCAATTGTGATACGCTCGGAGGCTTGGGAAGAGCTTGTGCGCTGGGGCTGATTCCCCTGGGACTCAGCCTTCCCCGTGTCCTAGCTGAGCCCCATCCACAGCCACCAGGTAACTGCAGCTGTGTGAGCAAGCCTAGGTGAAATGAGCAGAAGAACCACCTACAACCTACAGAACTGTGAAAAATAAAATAGGTGTTGTTTTAAACCACTAAGCCCTGGAGCAGTAGATAAACAATCCAATATCTTACTTATGTTTGTTTCCCTAGAATCTACTACACTGCCTGGCACATAATCCACCCTTAACCCAGTTGTTGACATAAACTTTATCCTCCCAACAACCCCATCAGGTAGGTATTCCGATCATATTCTGTTTATTTTTAATTACAAGGCTCACAGGGACTCTTACTCATGCCCAGCCTGTGTGCTGCGGGCACCACAATTGTCCACATTCTTGTAGAGGATGTAATCAAGGTCTAGGGACACGTAGCAACTTGCATAAGGTCACCACAACAGACTTGAGTCACCTACGTTATGTGTCCCCTCTCTTAATAAAGAATTGATAATCTTCCCTCTTTATTGTGTGCTTACTATGTGCCAACCACTAAGCACTATATGTATATATTGTAGCATTTTCTCCTTGCAAAAACCCCACGAGGTAGGCTCTATTATCATCTCATTTTAGAGGTGGAGAAACTGAGGCTCCAGAAGGCTCTGTGACTGGCCCCTCAGAGCTGAGCTCTGATCCCGGGTGTCCCTGACTCTCCACTTGTGCTCTTCAGCATTCACTCGATGTGGAGCCACAGACACATGGGGATTAGTGCTCAGAGCAAAATTCACACACAATGAGAAGTACTCTTGAACACGTCGTAAGTCTCCGTTAAAGCAAAGTGTGTATTACTTTACTTAGTAACAGATGCATAAAAACGTACAGTGTATTTCAGGGCTGTGTCATGTTAACAAAATGGCTTTCAACTCAAGAATCCCACTGTGGCAGAGTCTGGCTGGATGCTAACAGATTCCATTTGTTTTCTTCTGGGACTCACAGGAAGATTGCATTTCCTAATCTTGGGAATGATCAAAGTCACTTCTAGACTCGGTCTTTAAAATCTTCTGTGATCTTCTAGTCCAGAAGTGGGCAAACTATGGCCCGCTGCCTGTTTTTGTAAATAAAGTTTTATTGGAACATAGTCACCCTCGTTTGTTTACATATTGCCTACGGCTGCTTTTGTGCTGCAACAGCAGAGATGAGTAGTTGTGACCGAGACCGTCTGGTCTGCAAAACCTAAAGTATTTACTAATATTTGCCAACCCCTGCTCCAGTCCTCTCTGGTGGATGCTGTGATGACTACTCAGATCACCCTTTAGCAATGAGAAGCTCATTCCCTCAGCTGCTGGGAGTGGGGCTGGAAGACCGTCCTCGTCTATAGCCAAAGCCTGATCAGCACGGAGGTTTGACTGCATCACCACCTTGCTCCCACTCAGGACAACTTGCAAAGGCCACCCAGCTCCACAGTTTCCTGGAGAGTTGGCAGAAACCTTTTTTTTTAGCACTGCATTGCAGCTCTGTCCAATCTGGCATCCTTAACTCCCTTCCACAGGTGTTAATCCCGAAAGAATGCCCCCCCCAAACAGCCAGCACTCTAATCTCCATCTCAGAGTCGCCTTCGGAGAGTCCAGCTCTCCTCCCCTTCCAGGGTGTTCAGTGTGACAGTGTCCCAGCTGGAACATCTCGATTTTAGAGAACAGCCACAGAGGAGAGCCTCTAAATTCACTTCACAGTGTAACAGTAGCAAATTGTCAGCCTTTATTGTGTTATGCCACTTAGACTTTGGTATTGTTTGTTCCGACAGCTGCTTCTACCTGTTTTGATAAATACAGTCATGCACGACATAATGATGTTTCCATCAACAACAAACAGCATATACGACAGTAGTCCTGTGAGATTATAATACTGTACTTTTACTGTACCTTTTTAATGTTTAGATACACGACTCCTTACCAGTGTGTAACAATGGCCTATAGTGTTTAGTACAGGAACATGCTGTACAGGCTTGTAGCCTGGGAGCAATAGGCTACACCCACCATACAGCCCAGGTGTGTAGTCGGCTCTACCATCTATTAGTAAGTACACTCAGTGACGAAATGCACCTAATGCTGCATTTCTCAGGACGTGTCCCAACCATCAAATGGCACACGAACATGCACTCGGTAAGGTGAGCTGCTGACGCAGCGTGAGGCCTGCAGGAGCCAGGACACGCCGTGGAACCACGGATTCACAGGCGCTGGCTCACACGCACCACAGGGCATCTGCTCTGTGCGTGGACTAAGGATCCACTAGATTATACCCATTATAATGTTCTCTTGCAGTCTCTCTATTAATTTTTCTCTCTCTCTCTTCCTAAGTACACAGAGCAGGATTCTCCTAAGTGAAATGTGGGCGCGAGGCGACTGCACCTCTATCCCCGCTTGGGCCTCCCCCCGTCAAAGCATCTTCGAGCAACTCGCATTCTGCAATGGCTGAAGAATGTCGAGTGTGGACGGCTGAGAGGGGGAGATGCGGGGGGCCAAATCAAGCCCAGATGTCAGTCTCCCCCCACCCAAGCTGTAGGCTGGGACAGAGCTCAGAGGAAGAGCCCCCAGTGGGGTTGCCGGAGCTGAGCGTAAACACCCGCTGCCGACTGCCCACCGGGCATGGCTGCACTTGCGTCGGCCCCCAGTAAGAACGTCTGCAGAGGCCCTTTGTCTCGTCTCTCTCTGAAGTCATGCTAGGACACAGGTGTGCGTCCCCCACAGCCAGCCGCCAGAGAAGATGAATCAGCTTCCCTGAGAGACGTGCCCCACAGCAGTCTGTCAGCTGACACCCGTCTGAAGGAGCACGGTTCCCCTCCTGACCACAGCTAATGGAAATGTGTGGTTTGCCCAGGGAGGAATCTGTGCTATTCTTTAAAGGAACAATGTTGACCACAGATGTACAGCATCTGGCATGCGCTGGGGTTTCCCTGAACGAGGAGCACAGCAGCTGGACCTGCCAGCTCAGGAGGTGCCTGTGGGTCTAGGCAGGCACTTTCCTCCTTCTGGCTCTGGATTGTGGTTCTCAGAAGTTGAGGTGGAAGTTCAAATGCCTCTTCCTATCACTTGTATTTGCATAATATGCTCCCCCTCCCTTATCTTCTACGACTCTTGACATACACAACTGAGATGTCCAAGGACCTACATCCCTGCCCTAGGTCTCTGCTCTTGCTGTTCTCCACACCTATTCTGCCATTTCTCTTTTTTATGAGTCTTTCCATTGCAAACGAGAGAAGCCCAGCTGCAACTTCAAGAAAACAAACAAACAAAACATAAAAACTATAGTTATTGAGTAAGGTAAGTTAAAATCCAGTGCCATTTGACTTTAATGTCAGGTATAACTGGATTTAGGGGTTCAAATGACTTTTCTAGGACCTGCTCTTAGTCTATATCTCCACGTCTAGACTGTGTTTCCCTGTGTCTTGGTTCCAGTTCCAGACAGGCACTGGGTGGGCCCTGGCAGCTGCAGGCTTATATCCTCCTGGGTTAGAAAGTCTCTAGAAAGAGATCGATTCTTTCCCAACAGTCCTGGGCATGAGCCTGATTAGACCATCTTGGGACACAAACATGTTCACGCATGAACTAATCACTGTAGTCGAGAGGAATGGGATTCTCATTATTTTCCAGGCATGGGTCTCCTGCTCACCCTTAGGGCCAGGCAGTGGGGTCTGTCCCCAAAGAGGATCAGGATCCTATTATGAGAGTGAGGTTGAATGGTTGTGGGACAGGGAAAATCAACAGACACAATCCACAGCCTGCCTCTCAAGGTCAAGTTCATTCTTAGGCCTTTGTATAACTCCGGCCTTCCCACGGGGGCCGTTCCCGCTGACCCCAGGCCACGTTCCCCTGTCTGTTCACCGTCACTCCTCAATAATTGAGTGTGGGATTGAATATACCACCTGTGCCTCACCCCAGTGTGTCTGGAGGGCTTTCCTGGGCAGCACAGGAATTGAGTGCAATATGGGTAGGAGATGAGAGGCAGAAATCACAGTTTTATTTCCTTTCCTGATTTGAAACCCAGGGAAATGAGAAGGAAACAGGCAGCTTTGAATTGGGGAGTGGGGAAACACTTCAACAGTGAACAGGCAGTCGAGAGCAGGGAGGGAATGCCTCTGTGGCCAGTGTGTGTGTGTGTGTGTGTGTGTGTGTGTGTGTGTGTGTGTGTATCCCTAGTAGCTGCATCCAACTTCAGGTAGGTCCAAGATTTGCCAGACTTTGGGGTGTGCAAATCGCTGCGCTCTCGCTGGCCAGTGCGTGATGCCTCGTATTTCACTCGCCCCGCATTGTGTGGCTACCATTGTGCTGAACACCTAGTAACGCTCAACAAGCTTTTGTCGGGTAAAATTGAGTTGGAGAGGCCAGCACTCAAGCTGGTAGCTAAGAGGTCTGGGTTGTAATCAAGACTCTTGACCTTGACCAGGCTACGTAGCTGTACCAAGAGAGCGCTGAGCAGGATAACAGCTATTTTTGTCTAGTGCCTCTACTTCACAATACTTGCATTCTGATTCACTCACCACGACCCTGTGAGATAACCCAAATGCTGCAGGGTAAGCTGCTCAAGGTCAAGTCTGAGGCAAAAAATTGGATATAATCAAAATGTCCTTGGAAATCATCCATCAAGTAGAATTTGAAAGGTTTCAGGATTACAACCAAATGCAGTAACACTTGTGAATTATGTGGGGTGGATACAGTGCCATATTGCATATTAGTTAGTGGGAGTCTGTAATCCACAGCGCAATAGTAAATTACAGCCTTTTATGGGTTCAGTACAGCAAGAGTCTCACAAACAGGAAGACAGAGAAAAGCAGTGCCACATCTTTGGTTTTAGTGTGATTTGGGGGCACCGAGGCACTGAGTGGATAATCAGGCAAAATCTTTTGTACTATTTAAATCTTCATTTTAAAATACATTTCTTCTTTTCTTCCCTCTGTGTTTTTCACTGGATGCAGGTGAATGGATTCATGTGAAGGAAATGTAGGATGCCTTTCCCCAGTCTTATTCCATTAAAAATGTTGATTCCAGATTTAGAAGGTACCAGGCATTGGACTGGGTGCAGGGACTTCAGTGACAAATAAAATGGGCATGATCTCTGGCCTAATGGAATTTTACGTTTTTTCAGATTGTCATATTCATGAAGAAACTGAAGTTCAGACCAGTGACTGCCAAGCATCACATAGTCTGTAAAGAGCAGGGCTGGAGTTTGAATCCAGTTCTTCTGACTTTAACCCCAAGCTTTTCCCAGCTACTCCCCTGTGGCTTCCATGGTAACTCAAGTCACTTCCAAAGCCAAAGTGAGAGTCCTGGAGTTCATTACCAAAGAAACAGGCCGCTGGACCTGGCCATCTGCCTTGGCAGTTGGGATTTGGAATTGAGTTCCTATTTGGCGTCGGATCGCTCCCTCCAGAAATGGGTGGGTTGGGATGGAATGGTAATGAGAGCCCTGTTTGCTCCAGAGGGTCCACTCCCTGTCCTGCTCGCCAGCCATAGTGGTCGGCCACCCTCTTTCAGCCCCTCATTGATTACAAAGAGTTGATTTCTTCTGATGCAAGAGGCTGAGCCAAGGGCAGTTAGAGCTGAGCCATGGCCCCCCCAAATTACTGCCTTCCCGACTAAATATGACAGGCAGCTTTCCCAAGGGCTCTCATCCAGGGCAAAGAGGCCGGTTCTGGGCTTTCATCTCCCTGGTTCAGTGTCTGATGTGTGCACCTTCCTTCCCCACCAGTGCCCAAATGGCCTGAGAACCAGGCTGCTCTCTCTGCTGGTCCCGGCCCTTCCTGAACCATCCCCGGAGGAGCCTCGGTGATGCTGCCAGCAAGACCCATCCCAAGTCTCTGGTTTGCCCTGGCCCTCAACGTGCTGACCCAGCCCACTGTGGGGTGGTGGCGCCAGGCTGGGGGCTCCTCCTAAACTGGGCACCACCATCCGGATGAGTTAAAGAACCATCTTCATATTGAAAACAGTGGTGACTCCCCTCCCGTGACCCAAGCCAGGGCAGATCTCGCTTCGTCTGCTCAGTTTCATTAAGGAGAAGTTTACAGTGAGCAGATGCTCAGGTTAGAACTGATTCCTTAATATTGCTCCTGCCAGAAAGATAGGAATAAAGCATTCGGCCTACAAGAGTTGGCTTCTCGCACAGACTTCTGGATTTACCCCTTGGAGAAATGTCACAGATGGTCTTTTAATCATGTTTTATGTGCCTAGAGACCGATAATAAGAAGAACTTCTTATTTAGCAAAGCAACTTCTAGCCCCTTAATGACAGGCTAAGTATCAGCTACTGGCAGGATATGTAGTGGGGGAGTACTGTGTAATTACCAAGCAAATTCATAATTATTTCTGTCTTATAAACCAGAATATGTGTTAAATAATACTTTGGGGCCACTGAAAGTAATTACGGAGCCCCATCTCTGTAAGAACATGTAATTAGCTTACGGTTGCCCTGTGTTTACTAAGCAAATCTATGCGATTATTATCGAAAGCCCAGATCCTGCCCTCAGAGCCACAAAAGTGCACCCAAGGGCAGGTCTGCAGCATGTGCACGAGGTCACCGAGCATGGGGGCCTCCACTTTCCAAATTCCAGCTCTGCCCTCATCCTCGGACTCTGAAAAGCCACAAGCGAGGCCTTGAGAGGCAAGTGGCTTGTGTCTTTGCCTACCCCTGCCCCGTGCTCCGGCCTCCCTGCTTCGAGAAGTCAAGTAGTAAGAGGCTATTCCCACCTGAGCGTCCCTGCCACCAGGCACTCGGGGACCTCAGCATCTGGCTGCGGCAGCTTCAGCTCCGTAGTTGAAAGAGGCTCTTTGCACAGTCACCTCAGGTCAGGAGTAGGACATGGCCCCTGCTTTAGAGGGCCCCAGTGGCAGGGGCAGACAGGTGTCAGGGAAGGCAGACTTGGCATGGCAGGGACTGCATAGCATCAAGGTCAAGAGCACAAGTTCCGGAGCCAATTTGCATCTGCAAGATAGAGATAAGCAGAGTGCCTCCGTCCTGGACCGACGTGTGAGCGCTATGCCAATGCGCTGTTGTCGTAACGAGGTAAACGTGGAGGAACGCACTTCCGAGTTGTTTAGCACTCAAATGCCACCGTGAAATAAATAAGGCCTTCCCTGCTCCTGCCCGAGAGAAGTGTTCTCTCCCTGCTCAGAGCTGACCGAGCACCTCATCCCAGCTGTCTCTTACGGCCGTCCGCGTTGGCTACCAGGCACTGTGTTAACTGCTGTTGATCTCTGACCTCCCTTACGGAGCTTTCCGAGTTCTGGGTCTGAGCCGTATTCATCTCTGTGTCCCTAACACCAAGCACAGGGCCAGAGGCGCAGTAGGCACTCTTGACATGTTTGTTGAATGAATAGCAGTCACTCAATAAACACTTGTTAAAAAAAAATAAGGGACTCTTTAAAGGCCTATTTGACCACGTGGCCAGGGCAATGAGCCAAAACCACAGATTTTATTTTGTTTTTGCTAATGTGGGTACATGTGGGGGAGTTGGATTTTGAAAGGATTCCAGAAGAGATTTCTTTACTGCTCAGATGGGTGAACAAAAGACTAATTAATTAAAAACAAAGAAACAAAGGCCCCAAGCAGTAGGCTCCTTTCTGCTCCCTGGGTATTGACGAGTTGACATTTGACTGTGAGGCTGGGTCCCCAGGCAGGACCCCAGATCCTTTTCTCCGGCATCCCCAGGCCTGGGCTGGCCCCAGCGAGCTGCAGAGCTGAAAGCATTATTGTTAACTGCTTTTGTCGGGGAGGTCTCCCAGCTGGTCCCGGGTCACCATGCTTCACTGTTTGCTTGTGTGTTCTTAAGCTGGGGCCCTTGGGTATTAGCAAAAGATTAGATTTTTCTTTCTTTGTCACCAACAGTTCCTCCCCCTCCTTCTTCCCCTGTCCTCTGTCCTTGTCATTCCTTCGGTCTCAGTGTGTCCCAGGGTGAATGTGAATGAGGCTGGGCACAGGCTGGAAGGTCAGCGGCCTGCCCCTTTTCTGGAAGGCACCCCTTCTCTGGTAGATTCTTAATCTTGATAATAGGAACAATGACTAAATAGGTATATTTAACATTTCAAAGAACTTTCCCACAACTTTTCTAGTCTGACCAACAAGACTATGTGGCAGGTATTTTTGTGAGCCCCATTTATAGTTAGGAAGTGTATCATCCAGAGAGTGATCTGCCTGTCATTGCAACCAGTGGGTGCTAGAAGAGAACTCAAGGACACATTTTCCACCTCCCACCTCTATGCTTTTTCTAATCTACCACACTGTCTGCGATTCTCTGAAAGGCTCGGGAAAGCCTGCCTAATAGCTAGTAGGCTAAGGACACGTTAGAGGAAATGCAGTTACAATTGTAAGCACGCAGCACCCATTGTCATTGCATTTTAGGATTTTCCAGGTGATCAAGTCTGGTCATTTCTTGTGTTTGACAGTAGGATAGATGAGGATGAGCTGGAGGTCAGTAAGACGCATGTAAACGTCAAAGCTAAATGTCTGCAAAGTGATTCACCAACTCTTGTTCATTGCATTCAACCAAAGAACATTCTAAAGCCAGAGCTGGGCGTGGTGGTTGATACCTGGAATCCCAGCGCTTTGAGAGGCTGAGGTGGGAGCATTGTTTGAGCCCAGGAGTTTGCGACCAGGCTGAGCAACATATTGAGAACTCATCTCTACGAAAAAAATTTTTAAAAATTACCTGGGCGTGGTGGTGCTCACCTATAGTCCTAGCTACTCGAGAGGCTGAGGCAGAATGATCACTTGAGTCCAGGAGTTCAAGGCAGCAGTGAGCTAGAGTCAAGCCAGTGGGCTCTAGCCTGGGCTACAGAGGAAGAACCTGTCTCGGGGTCGGGGGGAGAACATTCCAAGGCCAGTATGTGCTCAGCTGGGCCACTTGGCGGGTGGGGAGAAGAGCCTCAGATGGCATAATTCTCATGCTCTTAAAGGAGCTTTCAGTATCACTGGAGAAGCAAGATGAACAATAACTGACAGAAAGGATCATATCCAATGAGTGGTTTAGAAAATACGGCTAAGGCACTTAGAAAGACATGAGGTTTGAAATAGGTCTAGAAGGATGATCAATATTGGCATAGGAGACAAAGTTGTGGCTAGACCAGTGAGCAAGAAACTCAAACTTATAGGGCCCTATGTTTATTTAAACTGTGATTCATCATACATACATAATAATGACAACCGTACACAAATAATAAAGATTAACATTTAGTAAGTGCTTACTATATATCAAGACCTGTCCTGAGAGCTTTGCATGTATTAACTCATGTGATTTGCATGCTAACCCTATTCTGTAGACATTCTAATTATCCCTTTAATGATGAAATAAAGGTTCAGAGACGTTAAATAACTTGCCTGAATTACCAGCTAGCAAGTGTTGGAATGTAGGAAATGTAGCTCTGGAGCCCACGTTCTTAAACACTGCCTGCCTGGCAGTCTGGAATAAGCATGCGTGCTTCACATGAAGCGAATCCTGCCATACACCAGACTCATTCACTGCCCACTGCTCATTCATGTACTAATTCTTTAAACGTATGTTACCCAGAGATAAGCTGGGGCCGCCCGGCCTAGTCTTTGCATGGTGTCACCATCAATGAAACACAGTTTAACGAAATCAACATTTGTTAAAACTAGGTCAATCCTCTATTGGCATCTTTTGAAGAATATTATAGGAGATTCAATTCACAAATCTCAGCAATATTTCTTAAAATCCTCTTTTACTGTTTCTGTCACTGTCAGCATCTTTCTAACTTCATAGCTGTCCCCAACCTCCTTTTTATCTTTACTTGTTCTCAGCTTTCTACCAAAACCTCTGTTAAAACGCAAGCCATGTGACTCTTGGCTCTTCCCTCCTTCTTCCCATCTTTTGGGGCCATTGCTTTCCTTTTCTTCCTAATAACTTTCTGCAATGAAAACACATTTCTCTTATTTCTTATATTATTACTCCACCGATTATCCTGACCCATGTAAAAATTTCCAGGAATTCAACCGAAAGACCAAAAATATCTCTTAGAAAAGAAGGGGAAGAGAGCAGATGGCTGTAGTTAGACTTTTGTCGATGAGGGTGGGGTTGTGGGATGAGGGAGGATGTGAACCCTTTGTCGTACTGTCTGTCCTCTCTCCCCATCACGAGGGTGTTGACTCCCCAGCATGTTGCTAGATCCTGGGGGTAAAGAGATGAGTGGGACCTTCAAAGAGAGGATCATTCAGTGGTGGAGACTGAAAATAAGCAGATAAGTACAACCCTACACATCACACTAGAAGTAAACACAGGGCTCCAGGAACACACAGGAGGGCCAGGGAAGGTCTGTGGAGAAAGAGATGCCAGGTTATTGAAGCATATGGAAACACAATAGCACTGACGATTTGATTCCCTTCTAACTTTGATTCAAATTATACAAAAGTAATTCATGTAACCAAAACATTTGCACCTCAGTAATATTCTGAAATAAAAAAAAACCCAATAACAACAACAACAAACAAACAAAAACAAAAACATAAAAGGAAAGGAACTTTGTCCTTGTCTGGAAGACTGAGGGACAACATAGGCTAGGCTTTTTCACTTTTCCCAGAGCAGAAGCATAAGTAGGTGCTCAGCACACATTTGTTCAATGAATGAACATGGCTTGGTGTTGGGAATTTGCTTGATGCCCCATGGCCCTGGCCTTAGGCCCTCTACTGTTTAAAACAGAATCTTCAGCTTGCTTTTTCTGGAAGCTCTCCCAGGTCACCCCACCTATCACAGTGACCCTCTCGGAACCCAGTGGTGCCACCGACATTCTCAAGCCCTCTCCATCTTCAACTAGGCACATCTTGTCTTGTGTTGTGGCTGAATCTCCTAGGATTTGTCTCCAGTTTTCTCCCTTAGACTGTGAGCACCTTACGGAGGGGGGTCCTGGCCGGCCAATCCCTGGTGGATGCTCCAGTAGCAGTCCAGGAGTGGGAAAGGGCTGTAGAGACCATCTAGTCTGACTTCCTTATTTACAGATGACAACGTTGATGCCCAGAGGGTAGGTGACCCTGGATAGGGGCCCTGGCTGATGCTGGCACAGCCTGGGAAAGCCCCTGGCTAACACTGGCACAGCCTGGGAAAGCCAGGCTGACTACCACATAGAATTCACCACGGGGTAGGAGTGGGGGGGAGGGGGGATGAAGGCTGCAGCTGGTGACCCCAGTCATTGAGTTTCCTATTGCAATTCTAGAAAGGAGATGGAGCCTGAAGTCGTTGACTCTTCCATGGCAGGGCTAAGGCAGACATCTAAGAGCAAAAATCTAATCTGTTTGTCCACCACTGCAACTCCAGATCCTAAAAGAAGGGCTCATGGATATTCTCAATTAACATTTGCTGGATGTTAACACAGAGTTCCTACCATATCTATGTCTGTGTACATGTTGCTTTCTCTTCGTAGTTCTCCTAGTTTTCTCTTTTTGCAGTTGAGGAGTCTGAGATGGCACAGCTATAAAGTGGCAGAGCCAGGATTCATACTCAGATTGCTCTAACTCCAAAGGCCAGACTCCTCCCTCTGTCTTTCAGCCACATGCACCTGTGACAGTTGATGGCATTGCATAGGGAGGTTCATCTGCTGACATGTTTGCTACACCACAGCCCACACTTAGCCTTACAATTATGAGCTGGGTGGATTATGGGTAGTGTGGTCTACAAAATTATTCTGGGCAGGTGTTGAATCAATTTGAGGAGAACTGAACTATCAACAATATTGAGGATTCCAACTCATGAACACAGCATATTTCTGCATTTACTTAGCTATTTTTTTTTTTTTTGATTTCTCTTATCAGTGTATTTTGGCTTTCAGCATAGAGATCCAGCAATGTTTTGTTAGATTTATACTTAAGTATCTCATTATTTTTGATACTATTGTAAATGTACTATTTGTTTAATTTGAACTTCTAGTTGCTTACTGCCAGTATTCAGAAATAAGATTGGTTTTTGAAGTATTGACTTTGTATTCTGCAGCCTTGCTAAACTCACTTTTTGCTTTTGGTAGCATATTTGCAAATTCTTTGGGATTTTCTCTGTGAATAATCCTGCTGTCTGTGAAGAGAGACAGTTTTATTTCTTCTGTATGCCTCATATTATTTTCTTTGCTTTATTGCACTGGCTAGGACTTCCGGCATGAGGAGAAGGAGTGGTAAAAGCAGACATTTTCATCCTTGCTTTGTTCGTAATCTACCAGGGGAATAATTCAATCTTTTACATTAACTATGATGTTAGCTGTTGTTTGTTGGTAGATGCCATTTACCAGGTTAAGGAAGTTCCCCTCTATTCCTAATTTACTGAGAGGTTTTTATCATGACGTTGAATTTTTCAAATGCTTTTTCCAAATCTACGTCATGTGTTTTTTTTCCACTTTAGTTTGTTAATATGGTGAATAACATTGGCCGATGTTTGAACATTGAACCAACCTTGCATTTTCAGAACAAACCCCATCTGCTTGTGATGTGTTATCCTTTTTCTATATTGCTGGATTCAATTTTTTGGTATTTGTTGAGGATTTTTGCATCTAAGGTCATAGGGGATATTGGCAGCTAGATTTTTAGATGTTTATGAGAAGAAGGTTAAATGCAACAAGATAGAAGATTAAGAGATAATGGGCTCTGCTATGAAAGCTATCTGAATATCATTATAATAGTAATAACAATAATGCTCAATACTTACTAAGTGCTTCCCATGTGTCAGGCACTATTCTAAGTACTTTAAATGAATTAGTTTATCTCATTCTTGTAACAATGCTATGAGATAAGCACTATTATTATCCCCGTTTTATAAAAATAGAAATGGAATCAGAGAACTTCAGAGTCTGTGCTTTTAACCACTGCTATACATCGGCCAATATTTCACATATGTATGTATATATATATATAAATGATATGACCGACTTCTACATTCTTTCAGTGAATTGCTCTGGTCCCCAGGAGTGGGAATTTCTGTATCACCTTCTTGAAGACTCCTCCCTCTTTGCCTTCATCCAAATGACCTGAGATCCCGGAAGTGTTATAAACTGAAAGTGTTTAGCTCTGTTTTTAAACCCTGGGTGAGACACGAACCAGAAAGCTGAGTCAGGTTCCTAGGACCACTGTTTCTGTCCGGGGAAGTCTCTGTGGAATATGTATCCCCTACAACTTGGAGAGGAGTGTCCTGTGCCCCTGAAATGGGGATGCTGATCTTGGGAGCAGGGGGTCCCCGTGGGGCTTGCGTGGGCTCACACATCATTCTGAAGGCTCCCGCTCGGGCAGGATGGTCAGATCTGGAGGTTTCTGGCCCAGCCATATGCTCTAGAGGCCAGGCCATTTTCTTTGGCCTCTTAGGCCAGAGACCTCATCATCAATAACAAACTCTTAAGATTTCACATAAAAATAATATTTCTGATTTCTCTTGAGAAAGAGATGAAGATCTGATCCCCTGATGCCTGCATCCTTCCACAGCAGCAATCAGCAGGTGCTGAGCACTTGCTGGGCAGGAACTCTGGTGCATCCCACTTCTCACCTCTTGCAATTTTCTTGTCACTGCCTGCCTAGCTCCTAAATGCATTTGTGCTTTCAATTCGTGCCTTATGCCCTTGCACTGTGTTGGGCCCTGTGTCTGTTTATTAAAGTGACATTTATTTAA